TTACACAAGAAAGAAAGAATGCTCAAGATGAGTTGAGTTGACACATTACCATAGTCCATAATCCTTAGTGTTATTTCCTTGAGGTTTGATTCTTGCATTCCGTTCGAGAAGAGCTAAAGAGCATAAAGTTAAGCTCAGCCTGCTGACTATAGAAGATGCATTTCAGAAGGTCTGACGATTACCTTGTAAAAGTACGGGCTTTTAGAAGCGAGTAGCAGGGAGCTGACGTGAATATGCTTTACTCTTAAAACAGGTCTGCCAGTGGAATCACCTACGAAATACCAAGATCAGAGAGATAAAAGGTCATGTTTGCTCATTAAATATTTTAGTTTACATCAGAAAGGCTAAAAGCTAAAAACTATCACTGAAGGGAGCCGTTGAATTTGCAACTGTTTATGACAAATTGATATATAACAGGACGGTTATAACAGTTTAAATCCATCACAAAAGGGAACGGTTGAACTTGCAGGTGTTTGTGACAAATTGATATATAACAGAAAGGTTAAAAGTTTAAAACCATCACTATAAGGAACGGTTGAAGTTGCAGCTGTCGTACCATGTTCACCAATGACAGCTAAATTATTTCCATCTGATTCAACCTCAGAGCTGCGAGGTGCAGATTCTGCACATGGAAATGACAAAAGAAAAGTCGCTTCGTCAGGAATCACAGTGGCTACATGGATTTAACTAAACACATCAGATGATTACATAGATTTAATCTTTTAGGTGTCACTATGAGAACCTCTGAGACAAGATTTTTATCAAAACCGCAAACGACTACTTCCCCTAGACGTGATTCATGATTCAGAAATTAAATGCATAACCAAATGGTATGGTAAAACATTACAGTACGATGATCAACTCAAACAGGATGGCGAAACAAATATGAGTGTGCCATGGACAAATTGATATTTTATCACGAGTGATAACTTCGAACAAAAGGACCAAAACACCTAAATAGTTGCATCAGTTGAGTTGTTAAGGGGAGTTGATCACTCGCTGCTTTCCCCCATTTGAGTTTTACTAATCAAGTAATCAGAAATGGCGACAAAATTAATCATGGACACAAAATTTCTCCACGTGTCAATATACGGTCAATCTTTGGGTCTGACATGTCAATAAACTAACTCGATATAGCAGGGAAGGCCACAAGCTGGATTCTCATGTCAATCTACTGAAGGTGCCATCATTCAATACGACATCTGGTTTGCCTTTTACAACAGGAGTGCCTCTACATTCTAGTAACAATCAAGAATGGCCACAAGTAGTTACTATCAACTTCCCTCACAGAAAGAAAACACCCCCTAGTCCACGATAATGCAGAGTACATATCAAAGGGGTTCGAACCTTGGGAGTGTTTGAACATTTGGGTTGCTTGCGAACTTTTGGTATCCCAATTCCCAAACCCGAACATTTGTTTCTTTGCAAACAAAGAAGAATTGCACAGTGAAGGCGAGGGAGGAGAGGGGAGAGGGGAGCACACACTACGCACCGTCGTCTTGTCTGCGGCGCTTGCGAGGTCGCACCGACTTGGCCGAGGTACCTCCCAAGCCGAGCCCCGTCTCGAATATGCTACGCGGCGAGTCGCAGGGCGATCCTTCGCCGACGAACGGCGCCTCGCAATCCTCGGCCGCTATCTCGAGGCGCAGAACTCGATCGGAAAACGCCGCGGAATTGAGCGCAAACTCGAAACTCGACGCAACCCCTGGCGCCAGCCCCGGCGGCCTCTCCTCCCCGCCGGCCATAGCCTCCGCCAGCTCCTCCGGGCGTAAACCCTAATTTCTCGAGGCGAGGAGAGGAGCGGTGATTTCGATTTGGGGGCGAGGGGGCGGGTGTGCTGGTGGATACGGCCGTTGCGGGTTCCCGAGGAGGCGCGTCCTCTTGTTTTGGAGAAGTCCAAGTCGAGTCGGCGGCCTGTGATGGGCCGACCGCAGGCGTTCGACGGAAAATCTTATTTGACGCTAACTGCGTCAAAATGTCGAGAATTCGCACAGGCCACCCCCAACGGGCTCGAGAATTGGACCGGCCCACTCCCCCACAGCGAGGCAGCCCGTTTTGGGAATTCTTTTTTTATGTTTTTCTGTTTAAATTCGTTTTTCCGTTTTCTGTTTCTTTTCTCCTTTCTTTTCCTTTTTTCGTTTTTTTCTTTTTTCTTTTCTTTTGAAATTGTTCGGAAATTTCAAAATATGTTCGTGTATCCAAAAAGGTTCAAAATTTTATAAAATGTTTGTGTCCATAAAAATTGTTTGGATTTTTCAAAAAACATTGGGCATTTCCAAAGATGTTCTTGTTTTACAAAAAGTGTTTGGAATGTTTTTGTTCAAATTTTTCACAAGTTTTAGAGAATGTTCCTTTTCTTTCTTTTTTGTTTTTGCCTTTTTAAAATTTACTTTTATTATTTATTTTGTTCAAAAATTTCAAATTTTGTTTAGATTTTCAAAAACTGTTCCTCTTATCAAAATTTGTTTGGGCATTCCAAAAATGTGAAGGAATTTCAAAATAATTTCATGTTTTTAAAAAAATAAATACAAAAAATGTTCCTATTTTCAAATTTTCATCACAAAATTTAAATATGTTCGTAGTTCCAATTTTTTATTCGGAATTTGATGAAAACTTCCATTTTTCAATTTTTGATCATAGATTCCAAAAATGTTCGTAGATAAACTTTTTTGTTCGGAATTTCATGAAATTTTTTTAAAAAAATTCAAATATTTGTTCAAACATTCGAGAAATGTTTGTGGTTTCAAAAAAAATCATGTATTCAAAAAAATACTCTTGTTGTTGAAAATGTGTTCAGAAATTCAGAAAATGCTTGCATATTTTCAAAACATAGACTAATTTGAAATTGTTCAGAAATTAAAAAAATCCCATTTTTATATTTGAGCACCAATTTTAGAAGTGTTTGAGTTTCAAAAAATGTTTGTATTTTCAAAAAGATATCCAAATTTTAGAACATGTTCAAAGATTGTTTGAAATATCATAGATTCAAAGATTGTTCGCATTTTCCAAAAATGTTCATATTTTTCAAAATTTGTTCAGAAATTAAAAAATGTTCCCATTTTCAAAATTTGTTCAGGGTCGAAGCTTTTAAAAATTGTTCAGAAATTTATAAATGTTCCAATTTTCAATTTTTCTTCACAATTTACAAAATGCTTGCACTTTTCAGAACATTCTACATTTTGTTCGCGTTATTTAGAAAATGTTTAGGTTTTCAAAAATATTGCCTTTGAAAAAATTATTCCATTTTTTCAAGAAATGTCCAAAATCGCCTTTGAAAAAAGCACTATCAGGAGATCTTCGGTTCCATGCCTCATTGGGACTTTAGCTTTTGCGAATCTTTTACACTTTTACTGTTGTCGGCAGTTTCTTTTAGAGTTGCGCTGCAAATCTAAAAACAACACCTGGTCTAGCGCAGTAGCTAGCACAAGATGGTCAATACTATAGAGGTTTTTTTAGGCAACCTTGCAAAGCTTTATTACGTCATCACAATGTTTACAGGGACGAATAGAATGCCTTCACGCTGGCCTAACCAAACATGGCGGCCAACGCTCAGAGTTAAAGCATGCTTTGCTTAAGTTGTGAGCATCATAATTTGAGCTCCTAGACTGATAAACTACTTTACATGAAATGAAAGAGGACACTTGCAACTCAATTTCTCTAACCACTGGCCCGTAAGCCGCAGTGCTTCTCCTACCAATCTCACTTGCGATAACCTTGCAATCTGTAGCGACATGTGCCTTTGTGATGTTTAGATCAGCTGCTAGATCGAGGCCTTCCCATACTGCCAATGCTTCTAGAGTAGCAGGATCTTTAATATGTTTGAAGATGATGGATGATGCTCCAAGGAAATTGCCGACTTGGTCTCTGCATATCGCCGACACAGCTCCAAACCGGCTCGGACTACTTGTTGGGGAACGTAGTAAGTTTAAAAAAATTCCTACGCACACGCAAGATCATGGTGATGCATAGCAACGAGAGGGGAGAGTGTTGTCTACGTACCCTCGTAGACCAAAAGTGGAAGCGTTAGCACAACGCGGTTGATATAGTCGTACGTCTTCACGATCCGACCGATCAAGTACCAAACGTACGGCACCTCCGAGTTCAGCACACGTTCAGCCCGATGATGTCCCTCGAACTCCGGTCCAGCCGAGTGTTGAGGAAGAGTTTCGTCAGCATGACGGCGTGGTGACGATGTTGATGTTCTACCGACGCAGGGCTTCGCCTAAGCACCGCTACAGTTTTATCGAGGTGGACTATGGTGGAGGGGGGCACCGCACACGGCTAAAAGATCAACTTGATCAATTGTTGTGTCTATGAGGTGCCCCCCTGCCCCGTATATAAAGGAGCAAGGGGGGTGTGGCCGGCCAGGGAGAGGGCGCGCCAGGAGGAGTCCTACTCCCACCGGGAGTAGGACTCCCCCCCTTTCCTAGTTGGAATAGGATTCGGGAGAAGGAAAAGAGAGAGGGAAAGAAGGAAAGAGGGGGCCGGCCCCCTTGCCCTAAACCAATTCGGGTTGGGCCTTGGGGGGCGTGCCCCACACTCCCCTTGCTTCCCTCTATTTCCACTAAGGCCCATGTAGGCCCATTAAGCCCCCGGGGGGTTCTGGTAACCTCCTGGTACTCCGGTACCCGGAACACTTCCTACATCCAAACATAGGCTTCCAATATATCAATCTTCATGTCTCGACCATTTCGAAACTCCTCGTCATGTCCTTGATCACATCCGGGACTTCGAACAACCTTCGGTACATCAAAATATATAAACTCATAATATAATTGTCATCGTAACGTTAAGCGTGCAGACCCTACGGGTTCGAGAACTGTGTAGACATGATCGAGACACGTCTCCGGTCAATAACCAATAGCGGAACCTGGATGCTCATATTGGCTCCCACATATTCTATGAAGATCTTTATCGGTCAAACCGCACAACAACATACGTTGTTCCCTTTGTCATTGGTATGTTACTTGCCCGAGATTCGATCGTCGGTATCTCAATACCTAGTTCAATCTCGTCACCGGAAAGTCTCTTTACTCGTTCCGTAATACATTATCCCGCAACTAACTCATTAGTTGCAATGCTTGCAAGGCTTAAGTGATGTGCATTACCGAGAGGGCCCAGAGATACCTCTCCGACAATCGGAGTGACAAATCCTAATCTCGAAATATGCCAACCCAACAAGTATCTTTGGAGACACCTGTAGAGCACCTTTATAATCACCCAGTTACGTTGTGACGTTTGGTAGCACACAAAGTGTTCCTCCGGTAAACAGGAGTTGCATAATCTCATAGTCATAGGAACATGTATAAGTCATGAAGAAAGCAATAGGAGAATACTAAACGATCATGTGCTAAGCTAACGGAATGGGTCAAGTCAATCACATCATTCTCTAATGATGTGACCTTGTTAATCAAATGACAGCTCATGTCTATGGCTAGGAAACTTAACCATCTTTGATTCAACGAGCTAGCTAGTCAAGTAGAGGCATACTAGTGACATACTGTTTGTCTATGTATTCACACATGTATTATGTTTCCGGTTAATACAATTCTAGCATGAATAATAAACATTTATCATGATATAAGGAAATAAATAATAACTTTATTATTGCCTCTAGGGCATATTTCCTTCAGTCTCCCACTGTAACGCCCTCGATGCGGCTATATCTCCCACGTGTCGAAGCATGACTTAGAGGCATAACCGCATTGAAAGTAATGTCGCAAGTGAGGTAATCTTCGCAAACAACCCGTGTACATAAATAAAGGGGAAAGATACATATTTGGCTTACACTCGCCATGTCACACAAATACATAAATAAGTCATTACATTCATCCAATACACTCAAGGTCCGACTATGGGACCAAAATAAAGATCAACCCCCAAATGCGACAAAGTCCCCGATCGCCCCAACTGGGCACCACTACTGATCATCTGGGAAAGACACGTAGTAACGACGAGAGTCAACTCCCACTTGAGCTCGGTCATATCATCTGGAGCGGTATCATCGGTCCCTACATCTGGTTTTGGAAGTAAACTGTGAGTCACGGGGACTCAGCAATCGCACACCCTCGCGATCAAGACTATTTAAGCTTATAGGTAAGGTAAGGTATGATGTGGAGCTACAGCAAGCGACTAGCATATATGGTGGCTAACATATTCGCAAAAGAGAGCGAGAAGAGGAGGCAAAAGCATGGTCGAACAACTATGATCAAGAAGTGATCCTAGAACAACCTACGTCAAACATTACTCCAACACCGTGTTCACTTCCCGGACTCCGCCGAGAAGAGACCATCACGGTTACACACGCGGTTGGTGCATTTTAATTAAGTTAAGTTTCAGGTTATCTACAACCGGACATTAACAAATTCCCATCTGCCCATAACCGCGGGCACGACTTTCGAAAGTTCAAATCCCTGCAGGGGAGTTCCGACTTAGCCCATCACAAGCTCTCACGGTCAATGAAGGATATTCCTTCTCCCAAGACAAACCGATCAGACTCGACATCCCGGTTACAAGACATCCTCGACAATGGTAGAACAAGTCCAGCAACACCGCCCGAATGTGCCGACAAATCCTGATAGGAGCTGCACATATCTCATTCTCAGGGCACACTCAGACTGTCCAAACTTCCGGTAGGCCAGCCCAGAGTTGCCCTTGGTGGCCACCGGCGGCTGACAAGGTGGACCAACACTCAGAGGAGCACTGGCCCGGGGGGGTTTAAAAGATGACCCTTGGGCTCCGGAAA